ATTGATAAAGATTTGTTCTAGTGGAGATACAGCCCTGTAGCTGTAGTCTTTTAGTACTTACTGCCCAACATAGAATTGCTGTTAACACTGCTACTGTAAAATTACTGCAGTGGTGTAATCATGCCTGATGTCACTTTCAGCGATTCCTCCTCTGCTGGAGTATTACAGGTTAAAAATATTTCATTAGGTTCATTTGTCTGAAAAAGCAATAGAACAAAAACATAGTGTGCATTTAAGTGCCACACATCCCTACAATAATAAGTCAGACTCCTGAGCACAAGTTTTATAAGCACATTCTGCTGAACGTACTCACAAAACCGTATTCAGTGCTTCTTTAGTCAGGTAAGATATTTGTAGCAGGAAAGGCTACGGAGAAAATATGGGGGCGGGAGCTTGCTTTCGACCCTTATCCCTTCTTGTTTGTCCTGCTTATGTTGCAGGGCTGTTCCAAAATGTGTGCTCTTAAATAAATGTCTAGTTCATAGATGCACAGAAATGAAAGTTATCTTCTATTTCCTTTGAGAAAATAAAAATAAACATTTGGTATGCAGTGACATGCATCTAGCAGTTTGGAACCTGATTGCTCAGCTCTATTTTGTTAACTCTCCCACCCTCCAAACTTGAGATGACTAAAATGTGGAAGCTTTCAATGAGAAGAACAGTGTATTATATCTGTATATGGTGTTCTCCCTGATCTTGTGAAGGCCTTCTCTGTTGCTGTTGTACAAGCAGTAACTAATTAGGTCAATGTGTATCTTCTTGTTAGAATCTGAGAAAAAGTTACTGCTTCTCTCCTCTCTGTACACAGTTATGTGTAAGCAGCTGGGAGCTTATTTCTATCGTTTGAGTTTGAATGGAGTCTTAGAATTGTGTGTGAGTGCAATAAGCTAAAAAGAAAGTTCTGATCTATTTGGCATGCTAATTAATGCAAGAAAAAGATCTCAATTGTTCTTGGAGTTTCTGTGCTGAGCTATTTTAAGTAAACTGTACCGCAAAGGCTCTGAAACTTAATATCTCTTGCATCTTAGTGATTGTGTTAGCCTGCATTGTGTGTTACTCTCATACGTTCAGTGCTTGAAACGTTATAGCAGATATTGGACTTCATTGCTTAAAGGAACATATCAAGATAGATTTTCTCCCCAGAAGATAAGACGGAATCGTTTTGCTTATTGACATGTTCTTTACTTGTTTTTTGTTGTTGGTGAAATGAACCAGAATGGAGCTTGTGATTAAGGATTCAAACCAGAACCATTGTGAATGTTTGATTTTAAGTATGTACCAGAGTCAACAACTGACAGATATTACAATATTATTGCTTTTATAAACCGCTCATGGAAAGACTGCTTGCAGCTTAGCTGAATATAACCCCAGATTCAGGGGGGGAAAAATCTAGTGCAAGGCATTTTATAGACTCATTATTTTTTTGTCTTTTACTCGCATGCTGTGCATCTTATGATGATACCATCGTGTTGAAGCTGAACGTTTAGTTCTTGTCCATACTTGAATGGGAATTGATACTTACCACCTTATGTTCTATGATGGAAGAAAGGATATAAATGTGTGATGTAAATCAATTCTAGACATATTATGGTTCTGTACAGACAGAGTTTTTCTCTAACTTGTCATGCAAATGTTCCCAGAATAGTCCTATTGCAATTTCCCCTTCCAGTTCTTTGGTCTTATCTATTTATAAATTTATATAAAATTCTGCATGTCTTGTATCTGTGATAGGATCCCAAGTGTTCTTGAGGCTTTTGTATGTCTCTTGTCAGATCCCCATTTTGAGTTTACCTGTAGTTCTGAAAATAATCCATTCCATAATTTTACAGTCCTAAGTTATTTATTTATTTATGACATTTATATGCCGCCCTTCTCACCCGGAAGGGGATTCAGAGTGGCTTACACGTATTATGTAAGTGCAATATATTATATTATATTATTAGCATAGCACAATATTAGTATTATATATTACTATATTGTACTATACCATTATACGGTAATATTATTACTAATATTACATGTAATATAAAATATATAATTATAATTTATTATTACTATTAGTCTTACTTTGCATTACATAATATAATTTTTTTTGTCGTGTCAGGAGTGATTCCTGGTGTGAGAGAATTGGCCGTCTGCAAGGACGTTGCCCAGGGGATGCCTGGATGATTTGATGTTTTTATCATCCTTGTAGGAGGCTTCTCTCATGTCCCCGCATGAGGAGCTGAAGCTGATAGAGGGAGCTCATCCGCCTCTCCCTGGATTCGAACCTGCAACCTGTCGGTCTTCAGTCCTGCTGACACAGGGGTTTAACCCACTGTGCCACCGAGGGCTCCTTAATAATATATATATTATATATAATATCATATATTTGCTCTTCATTTGAGTACATGTTTTACAAACAGGTCTCAGCTTTAATCCTCAGCCTCTCTGAATAAAAAGAATCAACTAGCATTTTAGTTGGAAAGTGCATTGAGCACCTGGAGAGCTGTCACTACTCAAAATTCAATAATTCTGAGCAGAATAAGACAATAGTTTGCCCTGATATGGGCCAGCTTCCTACGTTTTTGTTTTTTTTTACTTTTTCAGGGTATGTAATATTAAATAATTCCAGTGCATATTTTAAATTCTCAGTCTTTTTCTAATACATTTGCTTAAGTCTAATGCTCACTTTTTTTTTTTGCTAAATTGCATCACTAAAATTGAGCTGCACATTAGATTTGATAGTGCGTTATAATCAGGCACATAAACCTGTCTGTGCTCTTGGACAAGAGATCCCAGCTAGGGACAGAGGGAGGGGCAGTGGTGGCCATGAAAAGGCTGGTGGGAAGACCAGACAGATAGGCATTGATTCCCAGCAGCCTTTTCACAGCCACAATTGCCTCTCATTACATTTGACAGCAAATCCTTTTTTTTTTTGTAATGTACACTTTCAAAATTGAGGTGCACATTACATTTGATGGCAGTTTATACTCAAAGATAATATCACAAACTCAGGCACACAATAAACTGGGATGTCTCTTGATAATAGGATGTTTTATTTCTTCAAGCTTTAGTTAAATCCACAAATACATTAAAAATTAGTTAGTACGGAATTAAATTTGAATTAATTCTAAGTAAATATGTTGTGGTTTTGGCCAGTCGAGCTAATGAATAAATATGGGATGGCTGAATCAAAGAATAAAGTGCATATAAAAAGGAACTGTGAAGCAGCTTCTGATCAGAGAGAAACCCAAATTATTTATTTATTATTTAAAACATTTATATTCCGCCCTTCTCACCCCGCAGGGGACTAAGGGCAGAGCACAACATATGTATGGCAAACATTCAATGCTGGGACATAAAACCATAAATATATACAAACATTAAAATCACTTATACCCACATTAAACATTGCTTAAAAACCATCTCAGGACACCATTTTGCCTCTTTTCACTGCTCCAAAGGCTTGGTTCTATATAAGGGAAGAAAATCTTTCTTTGCTGAACAGTTTCATGATGAAAAATACAGAGATACAATGTTAATAAGTTATTGGATCAAATTAATCGGTTAATTCTTTGGTTGACGAAACAGATGTCCCTGATTTTATTAAATAGAAGTACTTGATCTTTTTTCTTTTCCATTCAGATTGTGACTCAAGCAAAGCATAACAGATTAACAAACACTAGTTTTTGGTAGGCTTGTGCAATCTGGGTAAACTGCTATCAGTTTTGGTGCCCCGGATTTCGGTGGGGATCCTGATCCGTTTTTTGGGAGCCTCCTGAATTTGGGAGGACAGAAATCAGTTTTCGATCTGAGAAGCTGAAATTTTTGTTTTCTATCCCGCCCATTATGGGGGGGGGGGCTTCCCAGGCTCCCCTTTCCACCATTTTAAGCATTGTTGGTCCTTATATCCTTCATTAAGACCTAGATTAAAAGTATCAGAGTTAAGATATCACTCTTTTTGTTATCCTTTCCCTTCTGTCTGTAGAGGAGACCTGGGTTTAATGCTTTGTTAAAGCTGTTTCTACTCCAGAGGATTCAGGAGCTACAAGTGTGCACAACTTTCTGCCTGCAGGAGACAGTTTTCCAAGGCATTTCAAGGGGGCTTACAATTTCTGATGGAAGGAAGAGGTATCCTACCCTGGGCTTCCTTTAAAAAGCCCTCTCTTCTGTCTTGATTTTGAGGCCCTGGAAAAAAAACTGGCACCTTACCCTCTCATGCTTCAATCTTTTTTCTGCTTCCAAATCAAAAGTGAAGGGAGGGCTTAAGACACCTTGCTCTATGGGATCCTTTTCCTTCTAGTGGCTCCCTCCCTCCCCACACTCCATGTGTAACCAAAAGAAATGGAAAGCAGCCAGTTTTCAACAGTCACTGTTGCAGCCGGTAAAGAAATGGCTGCGAAGCCCATGCTGTTACGGGCTTCCAAACAAGCTGAAGGCAAACTTCCATAATGAATCTGTACACAAGCCTAGCTTTTAGCATGTTAATAGTTGGGCCTAAACATCATTTCATCTTCCTTCTTCCATACTCAATAGTTTCTTCCACTATTATTTATCATGCTAAGACAGGGTTCTCAAACTTTTTCAGCTGCGGAGCTTTTTTTGAAGCAAAAATTTCAAACATATAAACAAAAAAATGTTTGTATATTATATATATTATTTATATTGACGGATTTACTCTGTGGTAGTGTGCAGAGATACTGGCTCTATGCTTTAGATTTTCTGCTTCTATACCTCCGTTATAGGGACCAGAAAGGGGAGGTGGTAAGGGGTTGATGTAATTGTGATTTTAACTATCTTTTACCTTTGCATTATATGGTTTTATCTGCTGTAAGCTGCCTTGGCAGAGAAAGGTGGGGTCAAAGTATCTTAAATATAAACAAATATACCTATGGATATTTACATAGGTGACCATCCAGTTAATCACAGATGTGTCTCTTACTTCTTGCAGTTTTCTGTGCTTATTCTTTATAATGTTTCCAAGAATATCTCTAAAGTACTTTTTTGCCCTTTCCTAGCCACAACAAGGAAGTGTAAAAGTTCCCAATGTGCCCAGTACGCAGCCAGCTATAATGAAACCCACGGAAGAACCACCTGCTTATACTCAAATCGCAAAGGTATATTTCATATTGTTAATAATAAAATCTGAACAGAAGGAAATGAATTCTTGTTGGTTATTTCTCTGTTGTTGCTTACTTTTCGATTTCTTTTCTCCCAGGAACATGCTTTGGCCCAGGCTGAACTACTTAAGCGCCAGGAAGAATTAGAAAGGAAAGCAGCTGAACTAGATCGTAGGGAAAGAGAGATGCAGAGTCTCAACCAGCAGGGAGGTATGCCTTAACATCCTCTGAAAAGGCAATAGGCTGCAATTCCTTGATTTTGCACCTGAGGACACAATTTATTTCAGGGCATTAAATGCTGAAGTTAAACTATAGTTCTTGAAGTGTGGTGTTCACTTCCATAAATAGGTACAAGTAGTTGCCAAGTGAGATAAGAATTTTTCTCAGCTTAGGAAGATCTAAAGGTTCAAAATACAAAAAGGTAGTAACTGTAGCATTTACTTGCTTTGAGGATTCTTTAAAATCAATCCTACTCCTTTTATACTGGAATAGCCAAGGAAGTAGTAATCTGTGAATTGGCAATATCTAACAACACTATCCCAAAATGTTTATTCAGATATTTTAATGGAACATTGTCCAAAGAATATTTACAATGGGTTGGAGCCTCAGTTGGAACAATTTATCTTTGGACTGAAAGCGATATGTTAAGCATATTTTTATATTAGTTAGACCTTGTTTGTCTGTGTTCCTTGCTGTTTTTGCTAAAAGTGTGATCAAAGGTTTAACTTTGTTTTCATTCATTGTCTCCCCCCCACACACACACACACACACACACTTCACACGCTTACATCTATTTAATAGTAGTCTCTTGAATCCACAGCCCCCCACCCCACCCCACCCAGCAATTAAACTTTTAAAAACTCCTCATTTGCATCAGAGGAAGATTTTTAAAAAGCTGATTCTGCAATAGGATGAGTACTTGATGCAAGGGGTATCACATGGGAAGGAAAAAATCAGCACTTTCCTCCTGATCCCTGCTTCATCCTATTGTCTATTTGCATGACAGTTGAGTCCTTAAGAAGTTAGTGACATGAAGGGACAATCGGCATGTTTCAACCCCAATTCAAAGTTTGTGCATAATAAATACCTTCTTCGCACTGCCAAGCAAAAGTCAGCATTGCTATGATCACTATTTGGATTTAGGATTGTGATGCTAATTGACCGGATGACAAGGCTGTTACATGTATTATGATATTCCACTTAAAAATAGTATTTTAGGAAAGTAATTGTATTGTATATTGGCATGCTACCTGACTAAGCTGCAGAAGATCAACAAACATTTCTTCAGATATAGGTTGTGTATCACTTATCCAAAGTGCTTGGGATTAGAAGTTTTTTGGATTTTAGATCTTTTCAGGTTTTTCAATAATTTCAATCATGACATTCATTTATGTTTCATGTATGCCTTATATATGTAGCCCGGAGGTAATTTTATACACCCTACTTGAAGTAATTTAGTGCATGACACAAAGTTTCTGTACACTGAAGTGTGAAAAAGCAAAGGTGTCACTCTCTTGGCCACCTATGTAGACAGTTTCAAATTTTAGGTTTTGAAATTCTGAATAAGGGATGCTCGATCTGTATATCACAAAAGTAAAATTTGTGAAGTGGACTTTAATAGCCAAGACTTTATTTTAAATTCTTGCAGGAAGAAAGAACAATTGGCCTCCACTACCTGGCAATTTCCCAGTGGGTCCCTGTTTTTATCAGGATTTCTCTGTAGACATACCTGTAGAATTTCAGAAGACCGTGAAGATTATGTATTACTTGTGGATGTGTAAGTAAAGTCTATAGAGCTTCTGTATACTTAAAATATCATTAGAAAGTTTATGTAATCTTTGAAATAACTATCAGAACATGATCTCCTATAGACACAGACCTATGAGTATAAGCAATGCTTAGGTTAACATGTAAGCATTGATATAGCATTATAAGTAAAGCTGAAGTTATGGCTATGTGGCAGAATTCCTTCAGATTTCGTTTCCTCCATGATCAAGAAGAAAAGGATAAGGCACCAAAGACCTGGGTTAGGATCCCCAAATGGAGTTGTGTTTAAAGGATGCTCCTCTGGGGACATTGGAGGTGTTTTTTTTTCTTTTCTTCTCCTTTTACTTAATGCCTCCCTGAGAAACTTTTCCAGATGATTTGGGGACTCCTGAAAGATCAGGTGAGATAGTACTTTTGATAGTTATGGGTATGGAAGTAAAAAAAAACGCTTCTGCAAAAAGCATGCACTGAATTTAAATCCATTGCATTAGCAGAATTTGTCTTTTTTCTTTTTCTTTCTTTATTTTTTTGCAAAAGCTTTATTTTAATTCAAACTTTTCACAAGTTGAGATTTTAAATAAATTGTTGAAATTTGACTCACTGTGAGTAAATGTCTACACTCGCATGCCACTATGCGCAAAAAAATTCTGTATGCTGTCATTATTGTCCAGATGTCAGCAACACAAGTTGTTTCTGTATTTGCAGGGAAGTCTGAGTCCAGACTAAAATAGAGTTTAAAAACAAGAGTAAATTCAGCCACCATAGTAAATTGTTTGATTTAAATTAAGGTGGTTTAAATTTAAAGAAGGAGACTGTAATTTCAATTACTGATATAAAATAATAAAAGGGGTATATAATATATTATATAATTAAATAAACTACTTAATTTATTTAGTTCCACTAAAGACACACAGGCAGTCCCCAAGTTACAAACAAGCTTTGGATAACAAATGGAAGGGTTAACACTCCCATTATGTTTATCTTGCTATCTCTGCCCCTGTTCAGAAGATTTCACCTCACTTTCTGTCCCTGTGATAATTGGAGTTTGAAAAAAATGGCCTATTGTGGAAACAAGGATTGGTGAGAAAGCTTCAGTGGAGACACCTTTTCCCCATGATAAGTCTTTCAGGCATGAATTTCCCTTCCTAGTGGTAGATTTCTCTCATTTCCTCCCCCCCCCCCCCCACCCCCCGGTTCGAATACACTGCGCCATTTATAAGTCAGATGTTTGTAACTTGGGGATTGGCTGTACTTGACAACTGGTGTTTATAGCAAGTAAAACGTGTTTGTTTGCAGTAAATAGTCATTAACACTACTAGGATTGCAATCCAGAACATCTAGCCTTTCAGCAAACAACCCTTTTACAACATCTGTGTTGAGACAGAAAATTTTGAATTGAATGATTTCTGTTGGACTTTTGTAAATATGCAACAATTCTACCTTAAAAGAGTAGTGATCAGAATAGCTTGCAGAAGCAAAGTGATCAGACAAAGTGAAAGAGTGTATTTAATAAATCTGCAGTGGCTGAAAGCTGGTGCATTGAACTGAGGTAGTGCAGAGATGTTGGCAGCGAGAGCAGCTGGAATCCTCTTCAGTCATATCTGAGGCTGAGAGTTTCTGATAGGATGGAAAGCAGTTGCCTGTTTTCTTTAGCTGAAGACAAATACATAATTGAGAGAATAATAAATGCAAGGTTGGATTTTGAGTTTGCTTCTTCTTGACAGAAGGGCCTGTTCTGTTTACTGGAAGCTTTTGAATTTTGCAACACATTTCTGCTGGCAGAATAAAGGAGGATTTTCTCTCTTTCCCTTTTATATTCTTACGTTTCTTCAGTTCCCTTCCCAATGTAATCTATGTTCCATGAGAACCCACACTGAAAGTTGGGGACTTTTGGAAAGTGGCACTGACGACTGCAGAGGAAACAAAAATCATTGACTATCTTCTGCAATTTTTGCTGGCAAGAAAATTCGCAGGATGCTGCCTCACTGAAATTAGGAACTGTATCTAACCCACTGTACACATAGCCAGTACTGTATTTATAATGGTTTAGACAAGGAGTCATAAGTTTTTGCTCTCACTTGTTTAAATAAAGTGCTACATAATGTCTTCATTGTAATTGCAGTGTTTAGAGTAAACATGAAGTTCTTACACCACCACCCGCCATTTCCAGCAACAGAGTCAAAAAGTCTTCTCCCCTCTTGTCAAGGTCACAGGACACTTGAGTCTTTAGGGGCTTTGAACCTTTCTATTAAGTCCATTCCAAGCTGGGGGGACCTAAGGGAATTGTAAGACTATTTTGAGATTTATCCTGTTTTAATGAAAACTTGATTTGGATAACACAATCTTAAGAGTTTAAAATCTAATTTAAATTTAATGTGTTTTATCCATGCTGATTACATAATTAGATGCTGATATAAGACTGACGACAGAGATTATGTATTCAAGTTTTGTATTGTTTTAATACTTCTGGAATTATGGTTATGTACTTTTAATTTCCCTCAGTCCACGCAGTTACACTATTTCTTAACATCTTTGGATGCCTGGCCTGGTTTTGCCTTGATCCTAAGCGAGGAGTTGATTTTGGATTGAGCATTCTTTGGTTCTTGCTTTTCACACCCTGCTCATTTGTCTGCTGGTACAGACCACTTTATGGAGCCTTCAGGTAAATATTTCCAGTCATGTGAAAACAGTCTTATTAAAATACATACAGAAATTAACTATTTTTCAATCTTTAAATATTGTGATTTTTTATATAATGTTAGTTGCAAGTAACATGCATCTTTCAAAATATGGATTGAGAAAAATATATGCATTAGATTTTTTTACAAACATAGCTATACTGTTGTGATTTATTTCCACAAGGATTTGCATAGTCATAAAAAACCAGCACTTCTGTATGTATCATTTTTCACATTTCTGTTTATGATCGTACTCTACTTGTTAAGGTGTTGAGCTTCATATTTTGTCATGTTTGACAAATACCATAAATACTTGACTTTTTTTCTCTTTATCTCTTTTTGTTTCAGAAGTGACAGTTCCTTTAGATTCTTTGTTTTCTTCTTTGTATACATTTGTCAATTTGCTGTACATGTACTTCAGGCTGCAGGATTCCAAGGATGGGGCAATTGGTAAGACAACTGCTTTGTTATATTGCATTAATCATAGGTGGGAATTAGATTAACATGCCACCTTTTCAAAGTTTAATAATACACAGAGGGATGCCTACTTTTGACTATTTTAGATTGGAGATAAGGGTGAAGCCAAATCATTGTGTTATAAGCAGCACATACCTGATTACGATTTATTAAAAATATCCATAGCTATTTTACATCTACAATGTATTATCTACATGTCCATAGTAGGGAGTTTACACTTAAAGTAACCCATATATCAAAAACCTCAAAGCTTCAGTGGAGGCCCCTTTTCCCCATGGTAACTCTTTCAGGGGTGAATTTCCCTTCCGAGGGGTAGATTTTGTCTCACTTCCTGTTGTCTCAGCCCCATTCTTAACCATGAGTCATTTGTAAATTGGATGTTTGTAACTTGGGAACTGCCTGTAAAGGATAAGGCAACATGGATTCTAGTCACCTTTTCTAGCTTCCTAATAACAAATTTCGTAAAATTTGGCCCATGGAATTTCTGTGTACATGTATATGCAAGTCTACTTTTTAAAATGTAAAATTTTATGAAAGTATAAAGCCTTAGGGGGAAAAAAATGTTTTTCTGTGTTTCCTTTTTGTTTTTGCAAAATTGAAAAATGCATTATCAAGCCTCCTTATCTAAGAAAATGAGGTCACCATTAGTCAATAGGGGATTTAAAGGTATGCACAAAGAGAGCGTATATGATTAAAATAATGCTTAACCAGGTAGTAATATACCCTTAAATTGACAGCATTTTACATCTGCCAGAAGGAGGTATATAATTTCAGAAGCACTCACATGTGTATTTTGCTCTACTTTACATACCATACAAGAAATAGCAAAGATTTGAATTCTGTTAGTTACTAACTCCCCCCATGTCTGCAATATATATGCAGAATTAGTTCTTACCAAAATTGTGTTTTTTAAAAACGTTTTGTCATCCCCCATCTCCTGTAGCCTATACTGGAAGCCTGGATGGTAAAATTATACACACACACACACACACACACACACACACAAAATGCTGGTGAAATGAACAATAGTAATGGTTTCAGAAAATATATAATCTTGGAGCTTGAGTCGGTAATATACAAATATTTATGAGTTGTGTTATTTTTTTCTCTTCAGTGGATGGATTTCATCTCTCACTGGGCTTAACCTTAGCATCCCAGTAGGCATCATGATGATAATCATAGCTGCACTTTTCACAGCATCTGCAGTAATCTCACTAGTTATGTTTAAAAAGGTCAGTACTCTTTGTGTACCAAATCCTTACCATTGATAGGAGTGTATATTCATGTGTGCATGTTAATCATGTGCCTGCTAAATGTTTTCTTAATATGTTTTTCTTAAAGTCTGCCATCTGATACTGGATTAGATATTGGATTTTAGTTTATTATCAAAATTTATATTATATTAATTGGGAACTACAGCCTTATCCAAAAATTAGGGTTTTTGAGAACATCTGAAATCTCCAAAAAGTCAAAGAGGCGAATATTTGAAGAGAGATTATGGAAGAAAGCCCAAATAAGGCATGCATGGATACTGATAGACAGATGAGATAGCCAGGCTGATAGATGCGATTCCATTTCTCATTTTATCCAAACCAGTTTCATTCAAATATGTTTGTAGCTGTTTGTAGTAACCACTAGAGGTCAGACTTCGTATATACTAACTACTTTGTTGTTACATGCCATCAAGTTGGCATTACTTTTTAGTAACATTGCTGCTAAGGTCTTGCAAATTCAGAGCCGTTGCCATACAGTTCGAATCGTAGCCAACACAACAAGCTTGAATCAGTATTGGGAGATTGGTCCTATTCATAAGGAAGGTGTTTTGGTCATTGTGGATTGATATATAGAGTGGGTGGGTGGGGGAGCTTCATTTAAAAGTACTTAGCTAACCAGAAACATTTGTTTTATTTCTGGTTTCTTCATAGGTGCATGGTCTATATCGCACAACTGGAGCAAGCTTTGAGAAAGCCCAACAAGAATTTGCAACAGGCGTGATGTCCAACAAAACTGTACAAACTGCAGCAGCCAATGCAGCTTCAACAGCAGCTACTAGTGCCGCTCAAAATGCTTTTAAGGGTAACCAAATATAGAGCAAAAGAGATGAAAATCACTACAACTCTCTGGCTGTATTTTATTTTCCAGTCACTTATATTCCCTGAAGACTTGTGTTAAAAATGCACACAGCATGTATGTCTCTTGAAGCTGTGCATGAGCTAAACAGGATAAGGTCGTTGTTCCATTCCTTGAAAAAATATTTATTCGGACGTATTTCCTGGCTACTACTATTAATATAAAATTGTTCTATTTTTCTCCATATTTTTGGAGGCATCCTATATTTGGTGACAATTTCAACTGTAGATCTGAAAATGATTGGCAGCTCCTGAGGTCAATTTTAATGGGATTTTTGGCTTTTTTCTGGTTGAAAAGTTTTCTCCAGAACCATTCATTTTGACTTGAGACAAGCACTTTGGATTAAATACTGTTGTTCCTAATAACTTGCTTCCCTACTTTCTTAAATAAGAAACAGGGCAGCTGATAGTTTTGAGCAAGAAATTTTGGCCGCTGCTGCTTTATAGCTTCAGCAGCTGATGAAGGACAGATGTAAGCTTAAAATAAGTATGCTAGATAATGTAAATTCTTTTTTAGGATAATAAATCTTTTGATAAACATCTGAGTTTGCATGAAACGGTTTTGACCATGCTAAGCTGTTGTTTTAGTCCAGATTTTGTCTCTATCACTATAGTGTTGGTTGGGAATTTGTTTTATTCATGGTGTAAGGTGTTCTAACTGAGAAATATTGGAGCACAGGTGTTCCAGGAGAAGAAGATGAAGAGACATTAATTACGTTGAATTGGAACTGAGCAATTATATTTTAAATTCAGTATTCATGACTTTGGAAAACATACTGTTAAAGATACTTTTAAAATCATGGATGTAGTGTGGAATTCAGGGTATCCATTAAAGATATACTTTTAACCAGTATCTGGAACACTCCTATTAGTCGTCGTTCTTGACCTGTTAAAATACTGTGGAATTTTTTTGTTGTGTTTAAGAATTCCAACATTTTTAAAAATGTGCATTTGTGTTTAATAATGGTACTGAATCTTAGCCTTGTCAGTCACTCTGTTTACTGCTTCTGTAAGCATCTGGATATACAATTTCATTTAAATTTTGAATTGTAATCACAGACTCTTATCAGTCTTTTAAAAACTGAAATTTAATTATGTACATGAAATCTTTTAACATACTTCGGCCTTCATGTATGTTTTAATCTGAATAAATGCATTGTATCAAATGCAAACTGAGGAAGTTTTCAGCATTGACCAGCTGACAATGTGTGTACAGAGGTTCTTGGTGGCTTTTAATTCATCAGCATAACATTCTGAGTCCTAATTGCTTCTCCGTTTTCAATCATTTCCCCCGACCTGATATTCTGAGGTATCCAAACTTTTGGATCATAACTTGGATCATATCTTGTGCTAACGCTCCAAAATACTCAGTTTCTGTCATGAAGGATGTGTTAATTCTTATATACTAGCTTGCAGTATTGCAAGATGGGTCCGATTTCTAATACACTGTTTCCCAGCATTTATTTGTAGAAATGGTAATACAGTATGGCCTAGTAGTCAAGGGTGGACAACGCTTCCATATCTGAAATTACAAAATAAATAATGAGGAAACTATAACGGTTCAATTACACCTTTAAATAGTAAAATGTGAGGATTATTTGCATAAATAATTTTAAGTCATCATTTGAAGTAAAGGGTAATTAAAATTGTGGGTGTAGTTTAAAAGTCAGGGCATGTATTTCTTGAACTATAAGGTCAATGTGTTGGCTTTCACAATGTTTATGTACTTTTTTTCAGTACATCATTAGTCCCACAACAGCTTTGTTATTCTTTAAACTGTGTTGAGAGGGGAAACTATTAACAGTTCACAAAAAGATGGTTCTTGAATAATTTTGTCTCAGGGGATAAAGCAGATTGAAACTTGAATTATATAAATGGAGATCTAGTTTACAGTAGTTTTGTCAGTCATCCCAGCCCCAGAAAATATGTTTTAACATAGGCTGAGTATTAGATTCTTATAAACCTCTGGAAACATAGTCCACCACATTTGATCAGAAATGCTGCAGTAAATTTCTGCATTTCCCAACTTCTGATTTTTCATGTTGACAGAAGGCTGTTGTATGTTAAAATGTTAAGATATTGATACGAAAGAACATCAGTGAAGAAATATGCTCCCATTACAAGTCATTCTGTAGTATCCAGTTGTTGAAAGTTTAGTTCAGATTAATTTTCTACATTGGATCATCAGTAGTCTGATTTATATAATTTTGGCATTGGGGTTATTTATCTGAGGGATATCTGTATATTTGTAAATTACTAACAATGCTTTGCCATCATGGTGAATGTCATGGTTCTGTAGAAATGCACACAGATCTTCTGATGTAGCATGTCTGGATAGTTCAAAGGTTTTGCATATTTATTGTATTAACTCAGTGACATAGAATAAAAATGTTTCATGAATGTTTGCTCTGTATAGTTTTAAAAACAAGCTAGGGGTGTTTTTTTTAAAGGTTAGATGGAATGAAAGAGGGATAAACTGTACAGAAAAAATCACGTTATTTACCTTGATCCTGCTTTAGTCTAGTATAGTTACACATGCAGTTACAGAATGTGGGTGTGCATATAGCAAAATTTCAGAAGTGCAGGAAGACACCTGTCATTGGATGCTCATCTAAATGAGCAATGCTTTACTTTATATGGATGCACAACTGGATATGCACCCTGTTCATGCTCTTGTTATACATGTAACTATGCACTATTAAAGCTGGGTCAGGGAGTTTTTTTGTATTCTGTATATAGATTCTGTAACCTTCTGCAGTGGGAAACGCGTGTCAATTACTGGAACAGTTTATTAGTACAGTTAGAACTGGGATTGTTCTCAAGAAAATACCCAGTTAATAGATGCAGTGTTTTGGTTCTGTGATGTAAATTGGAAGCTTTAAAAAGAGAATGGTTTGTCAGTACTGATGGAATACAAGTTTTAAATTTGTCCAGGAATTTGTTGGAAGTAAAATTAAACCTCTGAAAATGACTGTTACTTGCTGTCTTTTATATTAGGATCATTTTGTTTGCTGGTGCGTAAGATCATTTACTCTGTTGATCTTTACATGAATGCCTCAACAAAGATAGCAACCACAATACAGAGTAGTACAGAACCAGCTCTGCACCTCAAGTACTGAAGTGGAACCTTTTCTTTTGTCTTTCCATTCTCAAAAAGCTGCTGTATGCACCACACAGTAGGCTAAATCTAAATGTAGGGGTGTATTTGATATGGCTTTGAGGAATGCTATAGCAGGGGAAGCCCAAGTTGCATTAGACATTTTAAATTCTTTCTTCTAAGCTTTAGAAGCTCTCTAGGTTTCTGTGCATACAGCAACTTCTTAGACACTGCTTTCATATCAAGGGAAGTATTCCCATCATCGTCTTCAATCCAGACATGGACTGTTATTCTTCTGTGTGGCATGCTATAACTCATAACTGCTGGGTTGCAGTTGGCTTGCGGATTTGCGTGACAGCAAGATGGTGGAGACAGCCCAAGAATTCTCAGATGTTGTGAGGATCTTGTGATGGACACAGACAACTGCTCACTTATTTCTTTCACCCAGGTTTGACTTGAAAGAGTTTCATAGTATCGTCTTACAAAACAACTTACAAAAGAGTGAAAAGGCATTGTTTTTAAAAATGCATATTTGCTCTCTTTCTCTGTATACATACATACACACATATACAATGGTTCATAGCTTTCATTGTACTAATTTTTCAACAGAAGTATCTGAGCCTTGAAATGCTTGCGGTTGTATATTTTCTGCTAGCACTGTCTTAGTCACAATAAATGTAGTTTTGTGCAGCCAGGTCAATGTCTCTGTTTGGCAAAGGTGCAGGTGCCAGCGCATGGGGATGGGAGCTGACATCACTACAGCAAAGAAGGGTTGTAGGTCACACTTTACGTATGCATTTTTATTTGAAATTTTATAATTAAAAGTGCATTAATTGATCAGCATGTTTAATTAATGCACTTAATTGACAACCACTTATTTGGGAGTCATTAAACTTGAAAACATACAACCTGTTCCTCCCTTGTCAAACAATGTTCTTCCTAAATGTTCTTGGAAGGGTTCCCATTAGCAAGAGCAAGTTGGAGGAGGGCAGCCTGAAAGGGGAGATTCTTGAGTTTCCCTCCCATCCAAAATTAGTCCCCACTCTAAATTCTGTGTTGATAAAAGCTGGTTTTTAGATGACAATTAAATAATTCAAAATGTGTTTGGTTTAAATGTGTATCTGAATTAAGAAAAGTTATGTAAAGTATATGCTGTTTTATGATTTATTTCTATTTGATTTTATAAAATAGTTAACTGTCATGAAAAGATGTAGTAACAGGAGTTTTTTGTTAATTTATCTGGAGCACTTGGGAAAATGACATGTCGGTAATAAGTAGGTTCTTGATGTCTTTCCTTGTTAAAAAGTTTGATGAAAATTAGAATTATTGACATAAATTTATAAAACGTTAGCTTGTTATTTTCAACCTTAGCTTATTTTTACATATCAGTAATGAAAGATAGAGCTCCTACCTTCTATCTCCATTTGTATGCCTCCTTTCCAATAGGCTCTAGTCCTAAAGGATCGTAACAGTCAGCGCAATTCTATATCAGTAAAAAGGTTTTCTCTTCTTTTCCTGTAGTCAGGAACCACAACAATGTGTGTAGTTTCTATCTTCTGTTTCCCAGATAACTTAGCCGTGTGACTTTCAGAAGGATGAATTTTGGTATTTATTTATTTATAGGGTATTTTTACCCTGCTCCTTAACTACAAAGGCAGTCAGAGCGGCTTTCAGATTGCCAATAATACCAGTTCAGATTTGGAAATGATTTACTTGCCAACATCAGGGGTTAATAACTGTTTATTAGGCAAAAAAACAACAAAAAACAAACAAACTATATTGTAGACAATTAAATTAGCAGTCCAACTCAATTTCATCATTCTTTACTGAGTTTGGCGGACTGCAGCACATCAAACGTCTCCCACTTCCCGCCCCCTGTTGCTCTTCCTTTTTGCTGATGAGCTCATTAGTTGCTAAATAATAGCATACACTTCACATTTAGAGTTAAGGCTATAAATAGATTACCAATCACTGCAGTTATGGTTAACCCTGCCTTCTCTCAAAGGAGGCTTTATAGCACAAAGTTGATTCCTAATGTTAAATGGCATTATAGTAGTTTTATTTGTCCATCGAAGCTTTACCATTCTTGTCCCTTTCAAACCATTAGTTTTCTAAACATCTTATTGCACATTACATATACACAGTTTAGAGTTTAAATTTCTTACTCTCTGGAAAGAGCAATGGCACACACATGTATATAAAAAAAGATTTAACCACAGTTGTCTTGTACACAGCCTCTGAGGAATGTGAAATACTTTTTGCAGGAATTGTTTAGAGATTAAAATTTCAGATTAAATTGTAGGATTGTGTTTGTTTGGACACTTTTATCGAAAGCATGGTAGTTTGAGGCACCCATCGTGAAGTTACTTCAGTGGGTGGCAACAGATCTTTCATCCAAGGAAGCATAATATTGGTAGCTATGGATAAAACCATGAAAGTGTATGGTTTTGTTTTTGTTTTTTTTAAGGTGATGCACCACCAGCCCCAGTGGCGCAGCAGGTTAAACCGCTGAGCTGCTGAACTTGCTGACTGAAAGGTTGGTGGTTCGGATCTGGGGAGTGGGGTGACCTCCCACTGTTAGCCCCAGCTTCTGCCAACCTAGCAGTTTGAAAACATGCAAATGTGAGTAGATGAATAGAAACCGCTCGGGTGGGAAGGTAACGGCGGTCCCTGCAGTCATGCTAGCCACATGACCTTGGAGGTGTCTACGGACAACGCCATCTCTTCGACTTAGAAATGGAGATGAGCACCACCACCCAGAGTCGAACACGATTGGACTTAATGTCAAGGGGAAACCTTTACCTTTACCACCATGCCACTCACAAATCATGAACTGGAATCAGTCTAGAATATGTCCCACCTGTAAGAAAGAAACACTGTGCACTGTATAGGATAGATGGATAATGCCAGTGTTTGGTTGCTAAAATATTCATTGACTCAAATGTGGAAGCTGAGGTCCTAATTGTATCAACAGAGTTCTATTAAATTATAAATCCTGTATGTAAAATCCTTTATGTGGGACTGTGCCTCTGGGTTCCAGGAAAGCTTCAGAACAGAGGAAAGCCTTGTCCCTTAATACCCTTTACAGTAGTAAAGAGGCTATATACTGTACCTTCCTTTCCAGCAGCTTTTTGATCTTAGAGGCACTTAAAGAAAAACAGGTGTATAGCTAAGCCATATTAGACTGTAACAAGCAATTGTTTTAGGTTGTGGTGATTAATGCAAACAGGGTAAGACAGTCTCTTAGAAAGGAGCAAAAGTACATGTTTATCTCTCTCACTTATATGCTAAGATTTAGCTAGGCTTAATTTGCATCATATGTGTGCTTTCTAAGTTACCATGCTTTTTTGGTCCACAATATTTTTCAAGCCTGTTCAAGAGAAAAACAACATACACAAAATCTAAATATCCATGGAATGGATGCAAAGAAAATAATGTAGAAAAAATAAGGTAGAAGCTTACTTCCCACCTCCCTGAACACGATACTTAAAAATCTGTTAATAGATGCCTCCCCACCTGTTTTTTTAATTTTTTTATTTAATCAATTCATTAATTAACACAACAAATTAGCATTTCAGTAAGTTGATATATTCATATTTGGAACGCTGACAGAAAGGAAACTTTGAAATGTAGGAGACTGAATACAAAAAACTAGTGGTTTATTGAATCAAGTTCTTTTTAGGCAAGTGTTTTTCAAGAGCATCCTGTACTAGTCTGTTCCATAAAAGCTACCTCCTTCAACTGCTCTGTCTCTCTCAGGGCTGATTTATGCACTTGCTTTTAATTGAGTAAAAACCATTCTATGTCACTTTGAGAGAGAAGTTTAAAAACAATAACTTTGCATTTTTTTAAAAGTGTCATTTGGTGCACAGCTATGCTGAGGATGCTTACACATCTGGATCTAAAGAGCAATATTTACAGGAGGCATTTTCAGACTAGCACTTCCCTTTGCGATATGTGGTAAAAATCACACCCTGTGATGATTTAAGGCAGCGCTTGATGTAAACATCTAACTCCTACTGGTTATTCTAACTTCCATGGTAAAATGTTTCAACCAGGTGGGTTTGTTTCATTATTAGCAATGAGAGCACAACCATAAATGTATACGATGGGTGGTTTGATTAGGACTTTGTACTGCAGCCTCCCAGTACAGTATCCAGCTTGGACCTGCTGAATGATCCCAATAGCCATGTTTTGTCACCCTGGAAAGTTTTTGTTTAGAATAGGAGGCAGCATTTGTCTTTGGTCACCATCAGTCTTCTTTTTTGGAAGGTTTTCGTCAGGTGTCTGGGGGACGGGGGGAATATGTTTTAGGGATATTGTAGGAGGAGCTGGTAAATATGGAATTTAAAGATAGCTGGGTTTAACATTTGGTGTATTAAACTATATTATTATAGTGGTATGATCCCCCCTTTAAAAAGTGACACTTTATACTCTCTGTGAAGTCTTGGAAGCCTCTATGTCGCAGGGACTTTCTCATACTTTGGTCACAAAGTATGAGAGGCAGCCTAGCTTTTGTGAACTGACTCTGTACCCTCAACACTTCTGGCGTTCAACAGAACAGCACTGATAACATCATACAAAATGTATATGTCTTTAATTTCAACTTGTTAATTTCACAGGTGCCTTATTGGAGTTCATGTAGCAGTGGTTAAAGCAGCAGCAACCATGTACTACAATCCTGAGTTAAAGGGTAGATTCCAAATTACATTCCTTTTCACCCAAAGTTTCTTTTTTTCCTTTTAGAAAATATAGTAGAAATAAGTGGTTATCATTAGTGGTTTAATATAGCATTTTAGTCTAGAAGACCCCCAACTACTGTGTCCTTCGTTTGTTGGAAGGTATAATATAAAGTAAGCATGACCCTCGTATCCAGAGTGGATACGTTCCCAGACTTACCACAGTTAACTTAAAATAACAAATAGCAAACACTTTCAGTGGAAGCTGACCATGGAGTCACATTGGAGGATTTTGAAAATGCCTAAAGAAGACATATATTGATGCATTGTATCAGTGTTAATAAGAGTAATCTAACAACTGAACATCAAGATATTAGTCATCCCTTCAAATGTATTTTCAAAAAAGCATGGGAAATCACTGAACATATTAACATAACTAATGAAAGAAGATCACTTGTGGGAAACCACTAACTACTAAATTCATCTGCCGCTCCATTAGGGTGCATTACAACATAAAAAGAAATTTCAAAAGAAACACCATTAGGTAGTACTGTGGCTTCTTCAGGCACAGATTTCTAGTAAGATAATCTTATGACATTTTGGACTCCAAAAGATGAGTACAGACAGTTGGCAGTACTGAGCTTGCTAATGTTCCTGAAATTGTAGGGCCAACATCTTGTCTTATAGGCACACATTTGGTGTGATATATACTAGGCACTAAGACCTCCTTTACCCATCGACATTTATACAGAGAAATCAATAATACCACCTGCAATTCGCCTGTGCTAGAAGGCCTATTCTGGCTGCTCCTGCCTCCTACACATTTAGGCTGTAACTTTTATGTCTCACATATTCCTTAAAAGTATTGCTTGAAAAACCGTCCTGCTAACTTCAGCTGGAATTCTTGCTCGTTTCCTAGGCATTCTTCCAATTTGTTATTGCATGCAACGTGCTTTTTCGTTAAAATGAATTCTGCTCTGGAGGATGGTGCCTAAAACCCTTAACACTGAAGCGTGATTACACTATCTTTTTCTGTAAATACTGGAGACGTATTTATTTTAAACACTATCCTTCAAAGAATTCCTTCACAGTCCTTCATAGTGATGAACACAAAGTCAATAATTTCCACAGTTGTTTGAAATCATTCATAGAAACCTGAAGCCAACCGGGGTGCTAAGTAGCATTATGTTAATGTACCCACTACCAGAATTCCCACCAGTTAACATTTTCTTCTTATTTTGCCTATAAAGTGACACTATAAGGCTTGACTTTCCAGGAGACATGTGTCTCCCCTGCTGCCTACCGGAGTCCAGCTATTAGTCCATTTTGAAACCAGTTCTTCTGAGAGATGCAAATGTTTTTTTCTTGGATCATTAAAGGAGGCAGATAAGGCTTTTCCCCTCTTCAATTTCCTCTTGCACTTTGTCACTGGAGGTGGCAATTTCAGCCTGAGCAGAGAAGACGGCACAGATAAAGGTCAGGACTGTGCCCCCGATGGCAGTGTAGAAAGCCCAGCCAAGAGAACAGTCACCAAGTTTATAAGCTGAAGCGTAAGGTCCACAATAGCTTGTTGCCTTCTGACAACCCCAACCTGCAGGGTATAGGATCAAGCCTAGGATAAGGAAGAGACCTGCCAAGAAGAAAAAGGACAGTTAGACCAAAAATATAATAAACTGACAACATTTTTTTAAAGTAGCATGTAAGGGAAGCCATTACTGGAGGAATATTTCTATTATGTTTTAATATTATATTTTCTATTATGCTTAATAATGTTTTCCATAATGAAACTGTACATCAGGATGATTTAGATTGCTGCAGGATGTTTTGTTTACAGTGTCTAGTCAAGTTTATTTGATGCTCAGACCATAGGTCTTTCACATATAATGAAAATAAATAAATACATGAAAACCAGATTGTTAAATACAATATAATACACCATTAAAACCCTATAAATCATTACAATGCTACATATAGCAATGGCAAGATGCACTCTTAAAATACTACATACTGCATGGATTAGCACCAGTGTAATTAAAAACCAGGTAAAACCAAATAGATACAGCATTATTAAAACTATATAAACAGCCACTATGAGTTAAAAGCATCCCCAACATAGTCGACTGCAATATCAGAAATTAGTCTTGCCCAGATTTTCTATGCTGACAGGCCAAAAAGAGACGCCTTGTGAGTTCGATCCTGTTCACAATCAAACATTTCACTGCGAAGACATACACATTATCTGAAATACTGATCCACAAAACCCTTGGCAGGACAGTGGGTTGTCCTATCCCAATTGGCTTGATTTGAAAGGCTTTCAGTGTGCACAGAAGAATCACAGCTGATTCAGACTCAAGGCCTGCCTTATTCAGCATGTGATCCTACTATAACTGCCTATAAGAAACAAAAGCCAATGCACAATCCAACATGCTCACTGAGATCTTGAAATGCATCTTTCCTTTGATATGTAAAATAAGTATGTGTAAAGCTATGCAACACAGACCATGATATAGAATCATGTCCAAGGAAAGTATTTTTTTCTCTTTTATCACAAATATTCCAATAAAATAATGTATAAATACAGTAGAGTCTTGCTTATCCAACATAAATGGGCTGGCAGAACGTTGGATAAACGAAAATGTTGGATAATAAGGAGGGATTAAGGAAAATCCTATTAAACGTCAAATTACATTATGATTTTACAAATTAAGCACCAAAACATCCTGTTTTACAACAAATCAACAGAAAAAGCAGTTCAATACACGGTAACATGAAGTAATTACTATATTTACAAATTTAGCACCAAACATCACAATGTATTGAAACAGCTGTGGATCCGGGTGGGAGGCAGACTGCGTTGGATAATGCAGAATGTTGGATGAGCGAAGGTTGGATAAGCGAGACTATTATAACATTTTGGATGTATGACATTTACCCCAAATATGTCAAATCAAATAACATTAACAGCATTGAAAATTTTCCAACTTTACTTTTTTTTCTGGCAAAGCCACCTCACTGTTCTCACCATTAAATGAACTGCTAGTTTTTCTCCCCTGTCCCAAGCTGACATTTTCCTAAAGTTATAAATCATAGCCAGTAGCTGTTTGCTTCCTGGAAATCTTCAGGGCAAGAACAGATGTGAGAACTAATTTCTGTCTCATTCAAAGCAATTAAAATTTTACATGCTCCAGTAAATTATAGTTTTTTTTAAAAAAAATTACTAGGATAGAATGTTAACCAGCTGGGAAAAACTACTACCCTATTTTGCTTCAAACACAGTGATGAAATAGCAGCACGCTTAAAAAAAAAAAAAGACTGGCGGTGCCTGAAAAGTCCTTTAGCAAGCCTTTCTTAAATAAAAAACCCAACAACCTTTTATCATTTTGTTAGGGTACTGAAATCCCCACGAGCCAGTCTTGACTAAGGATTTTTCTGAATTCTCATGAACAACGAGAACATTGTGTAACATTTCCTTTCAGAAAGCCTGTGTCCCTGGCTGCATAAAGTCCTGCTTAATCTTGGGCAGACGAAGATAAACTGGGCTTTCATCCCTCTGAGCCCACCAACTGTGACAGACTAAACACCCGAAAACCCCTTCCTGATGTCATCAGATGTTCCTTTGTCAGTATGATATACCATAATTCCTCTGATTATGAGACCTACTGTTCATTTAACCACATCAAAAAAAAAGTTTGGAAATTGCAATCTTGAGTCCCAAGCTTCCCATTTACATAGCTTTCGTCTAGAAAACCCAGAATACTTTAAAGTTGCACCAAGCAAGTGATACCTTCATGTTCTTGTGTAGAAAGCACAACTACAAATGTAATTGCCACAAGCCTATATACAATATAATCCTTATTTTTACAGCAATTCAAACAATTATGGCTTCACTCAAATATTTCTAGTAAGGAAGTATGGTTAGAATTAAATACTGAATTTAAAAACTGAACAGGATCAGCTACTTATTCTTATTTATAGAACTTCACTCTTCTGGAGAGAAGATGTTAGAACTAAACCTATGATGTAAAAGGCCTACATTACAAGAGATTCTGGAATTCCGTCTCTTGGATTTTTCACACAGTACTCTTTATAGTTGCATGAGCAAAGAAACAACATGCTTCTGCTCTGGCAAACCTTTTAGAAGGGTGGCTCCAACTTTGTGCAAAGTTCTCTCTTTTTGTGTACCTCTTAAGATTTTTATCCTGTCTTCGATAAGTTCCAGCGTGTTCCCTTATAGAATGAGCAGATATAAGGAATGCTGATAGTTTCATTCTTGGTAATCATGCCACTCCAAACTTTCACATACACCTTTATATTCTAGTTTGATGAACGTGGCATTTCTCATTGTAACTTTTCACATACCCAGAAGTGGTTCTAACTCAGCACAATGGCCTTCATTCATCCCTATTTTGCTAAAAAGAAAAGATGGGAAAATGTTGGAAAACATTACATCCAAAAAAAAAAAAAAACAGGAAGAAAGTGCACTAAAAGATCAAAAAGAACATTCTTCGAACTCAAGCATGATTCCTCTTGAAAGAGGCATAAAATTTCACTTGGTTATGCCAAGAAATATTGTTTACTGAGGCCAGGAGCGGCTGCTGTTTATTCTATTAAAATGCCAACACTTTCAATAGTACAAATGCAGGTGAATATCGACAGCTGCACAATGACTTTAACCCAGCTCTCCCCAGAGTGGGAAAGAGTTATTCTGAGAGACAATAATCCCAAGATTTTCCCAGATTCAAGGAATTATCATCCAAAAAAGTAACTTTTCTAAGCTCTCGAAAGAACTGGATTGAAATCATTGTTAAGATATTGAGGCTCACCAACTGTTTGTAGTTAAGATATTGAAATTCACGAAGTCATTCATAAACTCATCTTCCTAAAGATCGGTGAAAGGACAAAACGCACCAAACCTGGGCTGCTTAACATGAGTTGGAATTGGGACCAGGTGATGGCATCATAGTGGTGAAGCAGTGAATCTATTCTAGGTTTTAGTTTGAACAGTACAAGGTTAAAGCTAAAGTCTTGAACTATATACTCAAATATGTTCTACAGTATGAAGAGCTCCTTTAAAATCTAGACTACAACCTGCCTTGATGACATGGGAACCACCCATGGCACTGACTGGGTTCCTCTGTATGTTTACTTGGGATCTTGTGTCAATGAAGTGAAAACAGTCCTGGGACTTCATCCCATGGGAGAAGTAAAATGAAGTAAATCACTGGTTTTTCCCTAAGCTTTGCCATACCCGTTTTGAAATGAAAGATTTTCCCACCCCATCACATCTAATCCTTTTCCCCACTTTCGTTAAGATTTATCTGTTTGATTTGCCACCACACGCAAGACATATGTCTTCTTCCACTATCTCCTCCTCTGTTGTTTTCCCTCAAAATCCTTCAACTTCAGCAGAGTTAAGGCATCAGTCTTAAGGAACCACTTCTTGAGTTGTTTGCTTTCCAACATCCTTCCAATGAAGATGAGTTAAGGCACCCTTTTTAAACACTTATTTCAGTGGGAGCTACACCACCTGTATTTATTTATTATTATTTATTTCAGACATTTGCATCCCGTCCTTCTCACCCCCGAAGGGGGACTCAGGGTGGCTCACAACCAGCAACCATTAGATGCCAGCAACAATAAAATCACACTTAAACATTAGTTAAAGCATCAAAATTAAAACATGAATTTAAAAGATTCAAATCCAAGTCCAGAGTCATAATCCGAGGTCTGTCCAGTTGTCAAGGAGCATTAGATATTGTTTGAAAAGAAAGGAAGAAAGGATTATATACTGCCCATCTTGGTTCCTTTCCCCCCCCCCCCCCCCCCGACAATGTCATCGTTATATTTACATATGAGCATGGGAAGATTTCCATCACATGTTATGGAAATCCTCCCTGGAGTTAGACTTGGACTTGAATCTTTTACACGTCTCTATGGATTTCAATTTTTACACGTCTCTATGCGGGGAATTGAAAAATAAATGGCTTGCCACACTTTAGAAATGGCGAACCCACACTTTAGAAATGGCGAAATACCTGGAACCCACAGTTGAAGCTTGCGTTGTGTGATGTGCTCCCTGGGTGCCAATTCTTAAGTGGCTAGAAACGCTGATTCTATTGTGTGTGATGAAGTCCCTAAACACACAATCTTGGGCTACTATTAAAATACATCATGAGAAGCATTTTATTATTTTCGTGTGAAACTGACAAGTGAGAAACATGATGGATCTGGAAGGTGCAAAGTATTCCATGGCTACCTTCCTCAACTTACTATCCAGAGAGTAGTTACTCTTGTAATATAAAGATAAAGAGGAGAGGCCTCTTGTTTTAGCCACTTTGGTGCACTGCATGCATTATTGGAGGATCTAATTCTGCAAAGTATGCATAGAATTTGAAATCATTGCATCATACTATTTTTTTTTACATCCAGACAGTAAGTCAAGGAGTATATCAATGTAGTTGAAACTGACTTTTTTACAATAAAAAGGGGAAAAGTACAGAACTGTATACCTAAATATCACTGAAATGTCTCTGAAAATTTGCAGTACTGAAAACTGATTTTCATTAGTTCTCTGTGTTTGTATGTAATTTTTGAAAATTGAATATGTTTTGCATTACAGTCTTATCCTGG